TATTATGTATATTATATCAGATATCATGTTAAAGATTTTGTGTAAATAATAAATTATAGCAAACTATATAAGAATGCAAAATAAAGATTTTTTTTTTTGTAATTTTTAAGCTAATGAATGGACTCGCCAAGCAACTCTTCTACTTATAAACACAAGGATAGAGATGGAAGAAGAATTCCTCAAGCCAATTCAGAAATCCAAATTATGGCTAAGGATTTCTGACACACTGAAAAAAAATGGGTACACTTTTCAGCCAACAGAATGCCATGCTAAGTGGCGAAATTTAATGTGTACCTATAGAAAAAATGTAGACAGAACAAAAGAGTCTGGTGGGGGTGCTGTAAAATGGGAATATTTTCATACATTTCATGAAGTGTATGGAAATAGATCAAATGTGGATCCCCCCAATAACTATCTTAGAAGTTCTTTGTCATATACCTCTCAAAACAACTGTCAACCACATGAAAATAATTTAATTTCTGGAGCAGAATTGGAGCAGAATTTAATTTCTGCTCCAAGTACATCCAATTCTCAAAGGGAAACAGAAACCGAGAGACCGCAAAAGAGGAAGAAAACTAGTGATGAACCACCATTGTGGTTTAAAAAATATTTAGAAGAAAAAAAAATAGAAGACAAAAAAAAAGCAGAAATTGAAGAAAAACGATGGACTGACTTAAAAAAAATAGAAGAAGAGAAATTAAACGCCATGAAACAATTAACGGATGCTTTGTTGAAATTGGCAGAAAATAAGAAAATGTAAAATATTTCAATATTTTAATAAAATTTTTTTTGTTTCGATGACTCATAAATGTATTTAAGATTTACCAAAATACATCTATTCAAAAAACGAAAGCACTTTCAATAATGAACAAAGTTTATTAGAATTATGTAATTCACAATTACAAATAACTAAAAGTAATAACAAAATGTTAAATACATGATTAATACTTTTCCTGAAACTGGTTCAAATATTTAATAAAATTTTGTTTAAATTACACATTATAAATGCAGATGAACATGGCATCATTATGATTAAAAATTCACAACATAACAGCAGACAATAATAATAATTACAAACTTGATTTTAATGTATTAATAGAAAAAAAAATAAAAGTATCAATAGATACTTTTTAACCATTATGATTGGCATATAATTTATTAGCAATTTCCTCTCTTTTGCTAATTCCATCTTGATACTCTTCTCCAAAATTCTGAGAACTGTTTTGCAAATTACCATTTATAGCACAAGCATCTGGAGGTATATCATTATATAAAATGCCAAATTATGCAATACACAGCCAGTTATTATCACTTCTGGAATCAAATCCCTTTGAAACATATGTAGATGTTTCAGCCTTCTAAACCTGCCAAATAATTGTCCAAATGCTTGTTTAATAACAATTCTAGTTGAACTAAGAATTTTATTGTAATATTTTTTAATATTGTTTAAGTGTCCATTATCACGATAAGGAGTTAATAATTTTTTGGATAATGGATATGCACTATCACCTAATAAATGATAGTTTTCTGAAATCATCTCAGAATTATGTTTTATTTTTAGATAGAGAGGACTTCTTTGGAAAACTCTGGCATCATTTGATGAGCCTGGCCAACCAGCAAAGACATCTATAAATTTTAATTTCGCATCACATACAGCCTGTAGAATGACAGAAGTGAAATTTTTTCTGTTGAAATGTGCAACCTTTTCATTTTTGGAGGCTGTAAATGGAATATGAGTTCCATCAATACAGCCTAAAACTCCAGGAAAACTGTTGCACCCTCTCAGTTCATTAAATTCTTTAACAGTTTTTTCAATTTCTTTTCCTGTAGGCCACTGGATAACTCTCTCTGCTATTTGCATTACATCCTTACAGAATGCAACAAATTCTCTGTGGGCATGGCCCTGTCCAATGCCAAATCTGTCAGCAACACCTCAAAAAGATTCTTGGTTGCCAATCAACCATAACGATAACAATATGGAATCTTCTCTTTTCATTGCTGGCTTTCTTTTACTAGGCTCCGAAATAATCATCTACATCAAATGCTGAATAAAAATAAAATTTCTTAAAATGATTATTGCTTAGATATCGTTTCATTACGAAATATACATAAACGAAATATTTTAGGTAAAATACAGTAAAATATTTGACAAACTAAACAGATAATTATAATTTAAGCACTTTAACATACCTCAATTGTTGAACGACTCAAATGAAAGTGAGATTTAAAATCTTCCATGGAATACATAGGAACTATCTCTTCTACATATCCTACTATTTTGGCCTTCTTTCTCTTTATGTTTTTTTCCATAGCTGCTACATTTACATGTAGCAGGTCGTCGTCGTCGTCGTCGTGTTTCATTTTCCTTTTATAAGAAATCATCGCGTTGTCATTAAAAATATTGCAAAATGCTGTAATAGCACACGAAATAATACATTTGTCCTCCTTCTTGCTGAGAATGGAATTATGGGAACTAAGCACTTTGTACTCGAGTTGGAACGTCGCTGATGACGTCAAACTGTTGACTTCAACACTCAACACTCACGTTGAAAATTGGAATGTCCCGATTATACCAGGGATGGGCAACCTTTTTCTAAGAACCACATTTGAAATGTTCGAATTGAAACGGGCCGCAGATAAGAAAAAAGAAAAAAAATGCGGGTAAATCACAAATGTTTATTCATATATTCATAAATTAACATAGGTATACTGGAATTAATGCGAATGTAATATATCATATATATATGTCATCGATCTTATAACGGTTATATCGAGCTTTTATTGTACAAAACCACGTGCGAACCTCAAGGTCAGTCCAGCATTGAAAATAATGAGAAGTTGAAACATTCTCATATATGATTTTTTATTTATTACTGTCCAGTTCTAAGTTTGAATTGTTTTTAAAATATTAATAATTTTCTAGTTCAAACATTTTTAATTTCAATTTTGGAAATTAATACTAACATTATTATNTTTTCCGTTTCCGCTCTGTCTAGTTCCGCTTGTTATGACGTAGTTTTACATTCCTAAGAGTTATAGCAGGTTTTTCTATTAACGTGCGCTTTCATTTTCTTTCTTCTTAGTTTATTCCTTCATACTTTAAAACTTATAAGCACTTCGAGATTCTTTATGTCTCTATTACTATTATAATATACTTAATCTACTTCCTATATAATAATTTCTTGTACGACTATTTCGTCTATCTGATTTATATAGGATTTACTATTAGCTTGAGAGGTGAGTTCAAGTTTCCGTAAATTCTTTATAGTCTATTTAAACTATTCCTCAAATATCTTATACTCGGAAAAGGGAAATATCAAGAGGATAATCCAACCAATAAATACTGATTTACAATTATTTCTTATTGTTATCAGTTTTTCCCCATTTGTTTGTCCCTCATGATTTTCTCTATGTTCATCGTCGGATAGTTCTTGTGTGTTTTAAACACAGCTATAGGTATTTTACTTCCATAGGCCTCCCTTTTTGTTTCAGTTTCCTCCTTTTCATCATTAACCTTTATATTCTTTCCCGAAATAATTTTTAGTAACGAGATCAGTAGGCATATTAATTTGAGAAGATCCACTACTATTTGATTTCTAGAGCGGCTTATTTCTGTTTTGCGTATGTGTCCTGTTTCTACCGTATGCCTTAGTTCGACATTATTCATTAGCTCCTCTTGTTCATGAGACTTTGACTCTTCGGAAGATTATGTTCCTTTCTTAGTATCCTGGTTAATTTTCATACTTTCATTTAGTTTTGTTTCCTCAATGGAGTCACTACGAATTTTCTTTTCATTATCTTTGTTACGCCCTAACTTTATATCCGTACCCATATTATTTTTCAGTTTAGTCAACTTACGCCCGGCCTTTTTATTTGTCTTCCTTTTCATTATACCATGTATCTTTTTAGTTGTTCGATTAGTTGTGTGTGCTTGTAAATGGGGTCGGCGGTGAGGTGACACCCGCACACTTCATAGTATACTAGCTTCTGAATACTTCAAGTCGACTTCCTTTCGATTTCTATCTACTCTAACTAACTTCTTTTTATAATAATTATCTCTTGGTGACTTAGATGAGCAATAATGTACTTCATTTTTATTTGGCAGTATAATCATTCCATTATGATTATCTATTTCTATTTGCTCCTGCTGTAATATGTCTCTGCCGATTATTCCCTTGCCAGGCGCTGTAATTTCAGAACGCACTATCTTGCAAGTATTTGTGAATTTATGACCTCGAAGTTTGAATATGGGTATAGCAACACCTAATGTCTGAATCGTTTTTCCGGGACGAATATCTAATTTGTTCTTTTCTCCCAGGATTACGGATGCTCTTCCCTCTAATTGCTTTACTAATTCCTTATCTATGATGGTAGTCTCTAAATTTCTATCTACCATCATTTTTACAGGTATATTATTAACATATATTAATATGTAAGGATCTCTTTTTATGCGACTGACCGATCCTCCTCTAATATGTTTGCCTTTCTTTTCACATTTGTGTGAGTTTCTCTGATTACCCACAAATTTCACTACACCTCTCCACGTATTTTGATTATTCATAGAAGGCTCGTCTCTATTCCTATTGTTAACCCGAGGTTGATAACTATTTCTTTGCATCCGATCATTTACTCCTCTCTGACGGAAGTTGAATGTTTGTGGACGGTTTCCGTTATGAACTTGTTCCGTTGATCGGAAATATTTCGTATTTCATCCTCTATCCTTATCCCCCTTCTCCTGGGATTGTCTTACAAATGTATTAAATTGATTTCTTAAGTCCCCTATAGCCTTAACTACTACCTTCATTTGTCTTCCGGGATCAGATTCCGTTTCCCTTAAATTATCCTCCTTAATCTCTGCTCATTTTTCCTCTTCTTTTATTACTTTTAAAAGACCCCTAGGATGAGAAGTGAGGAGCTCTATATTCTCCTCATTTATTGCTATTTTTAGAGCCTGGTCAAATGTTTCGGGTTCTCTGGACATAATCCTTTTTCTTATCCTTATGTCGACCCCATTCATAAATTGGACTCTCAACCTCTCGTCCAATTCTTTTTCTTTGATCCGTTTTATGACTTCTATTTCGGCTTCGTTCGCGCCCTCGTGTTCAATCTCAACCTCCTCGGCGAACGTCTGTACGTCCTCATCTCGGGCCTGGACGCACGCGTAGAATTTCTGGATTCGATATGGGTAAGGGACTTTCTCAAAACGTTCTATCATTATTTTCTTAAATTCCTCATAATCCTCTACGTCCTTTACTCGCCGATCCTTACGCACGAATTCCTGGGCAATGCCAGTCAATTTTAATTTAGCTACAGCCAGCATTTGTGCCTTCGACCATGCTGCTACTCTAGTCACATCCGCTAACGTATCAAAAAATTCGGATACTTTTGGACCTTTTGAGTCCCCTGAGGAGACCGGTAGCAACGGGATCATTCCCTCTAATCCGCCTAACGTTATTGGATTACCAGCTAACGTAGCTCGTGGAGGTTCTTCTCTATCTCTATCCATCCTGATTACTATCGTATAATTAACTTAAAAATGATCTTATTTCAACTTATCAACTAGTTGTCTCTCAATCCGAATCAGATCTCGGATTATATTATATTAATTATGATATTATGATATGATTCCAAACTCACTCTTGCTGCACCACTTGTGTGATTCAATTACGGGTGTTTTTCTTTTAGTTCGAAAACCACTCCCGAGGACCACTTGTGAGAGTTGCTACAAGTTTTTGGATTCAAACCCCACTCCTGCGACACCACTGTGGGAGTGTCTATTAGGGGGTTTTTTTGTAGTTTCGAACCCCACTCCTGACACCACTGTGTGAGTTACCAAGGGTATAAGTAAATTACTTATATCACTTACTGGCGCACGATCGTGTGATCGGCTCTCTAAACTTTTTATAGAAGGGCGATAATCGCTATATGATCCGAACGGCGAAGTTCAGATGCTCATCAGGATTCCTTGACACCAGTTAATCATTAATATTATACGCGTTCATCAGCATATCAGTTAATATTATACGCGGATTAACACGTGTTTGCGATCTGATTCGGAATCAATTGAGGAGACATTTAAGTATATTTAACAAGAGTAAATTTAATAATTCTAAAACAAAACGAATACAAATAATCGGTGAACGACAATGAAGCGACAAGCTATAGGCTAAGACCTATTCTATGCTACTGCGCGATCGAGAGAGAGAGCTCACAAAATCTTTCCAAAACATACGACCTGTTTAGTTGTCGTCGTCTTCTTCCCTGTAGGTAAGGGACACCTTGTAGATAGAGTTCATATTACTTTCGTAAGGGAGATCAATACGTGCACAAAATATAAAAGTATCACTTCTACGTGTAGACTTGGGACTTAGTCTATGGGACTCCGTTAAGGGCGTTGGTCATCAGGAGGAGAACTGCGTGGAGTTTTGACGCTTCGGATCTGTCGAAGAACTCCTCAAATTTGGACTAATTTCCCTTATATCTCCTGAATTTCGACCAATCAACGGCCAGTAACTCTTTCGTGAGAACGGATGAAGGGGGGATGAATGAGGGGTAACCATTTCCCATCTGAGCGAGATTTTTAACCAGATAAGGGAAAGTCAGAGGATGTTCTCTCTTGTGAAAGGAAGTAACATCTGTTATCTGGTTTTTCCCACGTCTAAAACACTAGTTTTTCACAAAAATGAAGTAATATTTTGTGTCGATAATTTAATATTATCAATAAAAATTCATAAATTAGACCCAGGGCCTTTCGGATCTCACACACGTTACTGTGGATGGAAAAAGTTATAACTTTGTGGTAGATGAAAAAACTGGAAAAATGATGTCGGAAGGTAAGATTTTAAAAAATTGAATATCATTTCAAGTAAGCTATATATTTTTTTTCATTGTTTTTGTCAGATCACAATTATTTACTTTCATTTATAAACAAACTTCGATGTGAGAAGAGTTCATCTACAGGTACTGTACATATTTTATATTAATAACAAATTGAATGTTGTATTTAACCAAATAGATAATTATTGTTTTCATAAATTTTAATGAAATTCCTCTATTTTATTTTTTACATATATATTCAATGATAGAACAATCATCATCTGAAA